ATTTCCTGAAAAGTTATCCCTCAATTCTGACTGGTTGCTTGGAATGTTGATTCAGAAACATGTTGTACTTGGTGAAAATCACGCTCGCCGTATTACCCATAGTGCAATGAAACCGTAAGTCATGTTTGGAATAGCAAAAAAAAAAAAAGGTTACTTATTTATCATAACCATGGGAAAGAGCGTTTGAGAGAAACACCGTGTCCTCATTACCATGTCAACATGTCATATGGTGCCGTTACAAAACATTAAATGGCTATTTCAGCTTCAGTGAATTGGTGTCCATGGCAACTGTGAATGAAGCAAATTCCATGAAGTGCAGAGGAGGTTCAGGAGGTCTAATTTAGCCATTTCTTTGAGAGAGTTCAATGCCTCTCGTCTTATCAAAATGAGTCATCCATAATCATCATGACAGAAACTGAAGAAAACAAAGCAGGACTTTTGAATAGGGGGCATCAAGGTCATTAATTTTATTCATCTTTTTTTTTTTTCCTTCACTACAGTACAGCCCATCTTGACATTCACTTACACAAAATACTGTGCAATTCATAACATTACAGGACCTACAACTACACAAACAACAGAAAACATGATCTCCCATGAGCGAACCCAACACCACTTACATATAAACAAATTAGACTAAGAGAAATTAGTGAATTTATAGATAGGAAATATTAACATTTTACATAGATGTATAAAAAGAGACCACGTAAGGAATGCAAAGAATCGAAAGATTGAAATGCAAGATGAAAGAAATTATGTGCTTTACAAAACTTTAAAACTCCCCAACATCCACCCTTTTGTCCCGAAACTTGTTCCTGGCCTTGGTTCGAGCTTTAAACGCAGCTGCATTGTAGAGGTGCTGAAAGAACAAAAGGATATAAATTATACAACAATGGAAATCCATAATTTCTGAAATATACAGCGCAAATTTAAAAAAAAAAAAAAAATTAAAAAAGCCAAACATCTTTCCTACCCTCTCCAGTCTTGAGCTCTTCATAGCTTTCAGAGCAGTAGAATCGATCAACATCGGTGGTCCCAGTTCAAACACGTCTCTAATGAACTCATTCGCCTGTGGTCAAAATTTTAATTTAATAAACGCTTCAAAGATCCCATTTTTGGATCTATTCGCAACACCTGAGAGCTTTACCTGTAGATGGTAGTTCATCCCAGAGCCAACAAACTCTCTGAAGGCATCATAAGTCCTCTTCCTCACCCAGCTGTCAATGACCATTCGCTCTGTGCCGAAGCGGATTGTCTCGCTTTGAAAATCCCCTTCCTGTTCCTGACACAGAAGAGAGGTCAGAGTCTGAGCTGCAGCACCCAGGAGTCTGTCAACTATGACAACTGTTCACTTCCTATCTCACCTCTACGGCCTTGAGGACATCTCTGAAGACGGACCTTTGCTTCCTCTTATCGGTCTTGGCTCGGTGTTTGTTGCAGTCAGTGGCTAAAGCGTTCAGCTTCTCACACAACGGCTCCCAGCCATCATAATCAAACTCCTGTGAAGGTACCGGTCACATTATATTAGAATCCAAGTAAAAAAATAAAAAATCCAAATAAAAACAAAATGACAAAATACCTTATTTGCAAATTAATTCACTAAACTATTACAACAATTTTATTTAAAGTCAAATACATTAAATTAATTTTATTATGAATACATTTTACACATTAATTAATAAATCATTTAAATTAATATTTTTTAATTGTCGTTTAGTATTTTTTAAACAATTTTAAAAATAATTTTAAAATATTTTGTAATTCAATATTTTAATACCATTTTCAATATAACGATTTGATTAAATATTTAAATAATTCTTTATTAAATACAATACTTGATGAAATTTTAATTAGTTGATAATTTCAAATAAATTGACTTAAAATATGAAATGTTAATTTTATTAAACGCAATTAAATTAAATTCTTTAAATCTAAAATTAAATTTAATACTTTATTTTCATATTAAATAAAAATAAATTGATATAATTTTACTATTAATACACACGACTTACAGGGTCAACATCTCTGATGAGCTCAAACAGGAGGGCGATGGTCTCGCCAGCAGCAATCCGCATGTTGACGTTGTCATTCTCCAGCAGACGTGGCAGTTTAGAGAGATGTCTGAAAACAATCAAATTAGCTTAGAATAAACCTGAGAAAATGTTGTACCTTATGCAGAGTTCACACTGCACGATTTTCAAACTCGTCGTATCGCCGTTGTTTTCACACTGCGTGACTATCTGGGGTAGCATTCAGTTGTTGCTGTGTTCACACTGCACGATGGATCGGCGACAGGGGGTTTCACATTGCATGACTTCACAATAGGAAGAATCGCCGACAGCTCTGTCTGGTCC